TCCAGGAGTTGGTCTTTTCCAAATGAACTAAGTGTTCAGTGGCCGTCATTTTTCTTTCTCCACATTTTCTAATTTGATAGGTCAGAGCATCGTTACTTTACACTGCTGTACACTGTCCAGGGCTCAGCATCTGGCCTCATGGATGGGTGACCTCTGAGGTGCGATGATCTCTGAAAAGCACCTATGTTTAGTTCCACAATGAATTTTATCGTGACATGGAACTGCTGATGATATACTGACACGAGTCACTCTTATACAAGTTTCTCTTATGGAGGAAGTGATTTCAAATATCACTATGGGTGAAATCTGCCTTGATTTTTGAGGCAAGAACATGGATCCAAGTAGACAAGGTCTATCCAATTAAACCAGGCCATTGCTAATGGCCAGGCAGTCGTGGGTCCACTGCTAAGATAAGATAGGAACAGGAGTGACCCCCCTGAATCCACACACCAGCTCTCAGGCTAGAACATGAGGTTCTGAGCATTCACTCCTTTGATGGTAGGAGTGGGAAACAAACAGAGAGAGAGCAGTGTCTCCAGTGCTCTTGTTTGAGCTCATTTTCATTTACTTCCAGAGACAACAAAAACATAAAAATCAGTGTGACTGCTATAATCTGCCTTGTAAAACAGTCAGCACGTTTAAATGGAGAATTCCCTCTTGGACCCTCCTCAGAGGCTGATGTGTTGGGTAAAACTTGGTGAATCCCAAGCTCGGTGATACCACAAGCATGCCTCAGGAGTCCTCACTGGCTGTTGTGACGTATATACGCTATGTGGCACATAGATAATAAAAGCATTGACCCTGGTCAGAGGCCACATTTACACAGGATCTGGACCATTACACCGAGCACGTTTTAGAAATACTAATGTCACAGGGAACTTTCAAGATTACAAGTTTTACGGCACTCTTTTTCCCATGGAAATCTTAGTACTGCTTTTTGCTCCTCCCCTGGCTATTACAAGTTTGCTCTTGCCTTTAGGTGAAGTGCTTCAAGATAGAAATAGAAGGTCAACTGGAATCCATGAAAATAAAGCTTGGGCTAGGATCACAGTGGGAGCCGGATATTTCGATAGAATTTTGGTTGCAAATGTACCAAAGATAAAAAAGTAAGGAAAGCACATGAGCATAAACTGGAGCTCTAGAACTCCTAGCTTAGCTTATAAACAATCATCTATTTCCGCTGAAGTAAAACACATACATGATACTTTTAACTTATAATCCTAAATTGAGTGCAAATATTATAACCAACGTCCACAGATGAATGATTCATGTGTGGAACACTCACAGGTTGACATGTATGTGTGTATAAATTCTTGTGTACTTAAATGCGAAGGGATTAACACACCTCATACCCTCTCTGTCACCCCCACTCATGTGCAGGTCACGCTGTTAAGTTTTCCAGATAATTGATGTCCTCTGTCTATATTTAATATGGCTTGATTTCCTTTAGAGACAGATAATGAGATAACACCGGCACTGTGCACCAGAGAAATCAACCACCTAATCTTGCACATGAAACATTAAACAGGGAGGAAGCATCTGCAATTAGCAAATCTCTTTGATGTGGCTACGGCTCTGTCTCTCCACATTGCTGATGCTGTGGGTCTAGGTCCCAGATAAGCTGCTGAGCTGGACCTGCCAGCATCTAAAAAGCATGAGTTTTCTCAGGTAGCTCACCTTTTGTGGATGACGTGACTGCCAACAATGACTCCTGAGGCATGTTTATGGTGTTCCAGAGAGCTCAGGGGCCTGGGACAGGACTGAGAGAAGCAATCCCATCTTCTGTCCTAAAGATCTTTATTTCCTTCCTGAAACAGAGGCAGCAGACAAAACCCACTTCCAAAATGCAGAAGAGCATCATGTTACCTAATAAAGTGCTGGAATTGCAGACTTTCCCAGGTGAAGGTGGGGATCTAGACTGATCCTAAGAGTGGATCTGGTCATTATGTCGTTCTCTGGCAGAAAGACTCACTTATGGACTTCTTTGCCGAGTGCTTAAAAAAATTTCAGGGTCCATATGTTGGTTTACCAAATTGATGAGTTATTTTGGTTCTCATTTTCTTGCTTTTTTATTTGAGAATTTATGTAGTCTGTATATATGAGTAGTATGAAAAGTATTAAGGTCCATCTGTTATTTTCCTCTTTCATCTCTGCTTTCTACAAACTTCCTTTTCTGTCACTACAGCTTGTTTGGTTGGAAATTTGTTAAGATAAATGTTATTATGTTATCAATATATCTTTGTACCTATTTTCTACTGATGACAAGCTTTAATTTTTAAGTAAATTTTATCATGACTACACTTAAATAAATGGATATAAAATCATTAATATCATTTAGTATCTGGTACATATTACAAATTCTCCAACTCCCTTAAAGATGATATTTGTTTTTTCTCAAATCACATAAATCACAGACATTCCACACATCACTGCACTGTTTTATTATACCAAAGTATATATTGTATTGTAGAAAATATGCATTGTGTATATGTGTGGGGGGTATGTTTTTACACATATGTGTGCACTATTAAATGAGAAACATGGGCATGAATGTGGTAGGATTGTGCACATTTGGCATATTGATCGTTTCTCTGGCAACCTTATGATTTCTCTAAATTACATGCTTGATTTAATTCATAGTCATTTGTTTGGGAAGAATATTACATATGTATTCGTGTTAAATTCTATCATTATGCTTATAAAAATATAATAAAAATAAGTATGGATATAATAAAATAGAAACAGAAAAATCTGATCTTAAAAATGTGAACTCTTAGTTGCTTTTGGATTTCAAATATAAGTATGTTTCTTTTTTGTGGGAAGTTTTGTTACAAATGTAAGTGATACAATCAACAAGCGTATGATATTTATCAAATTAATAAAACCAAGGAGTTTATAAATCATAAAATTTCGAGGACAGTTTCTCAACTATAATATGTAACTTTGTTTTATTTGTAATTACATTATTTCAAAAATATATGAAAAGAAAATGAGAAAGAACATATAATGCTTGAAGATCATATCAAATTAATAATGTATTTCATTATCAGTGTTTGTTACATAAATTTTTGTTTATTTCATATCCTTTTTTGCTGTCATATATATGTGTATTTGAAATTTTTATTTAGTATCTTCATTACTTGTTGTCATGTATGTTTGCATGACATTACCATTTTAATAAAAAAAAAAATTTCAGTGTCCTCCCAGGATTTGGGTGGACAAACACACCTTTTCTTTCCTAGTAGCACAGGCATAGCTAAGCAAAGCCATATGGAGAGAACCAAGAGACACACAGGAAAATGTTTCAGTCTGTAAGTGCTGAACAAGAGTTGCTAAATAGGACAATAGCAGTAGTACCGTGCTGTGTGTCTGCATGGCTCTAAGGACTGCACCTGGGTTATCTCATTTAATGAACTCAGAAAAAACATGGTGGTGGTACAGATTTTATCAGGTCTAGTGAACAGATTAGGAAACTGAGGCAGACAGAGTCGTCAACCTACTCACAGTTAGCCCATGGCCAGATGGTTAGGCTGGAACATCCGTGTGGCTCTTGGACTCCGGAAACTCTGGTGCCTCACTTACCCCTTCTAGCTGCACAAGTCATTCTGGAAGAAGGCTGTGGGTAAAAAAAGAAGAGAAAAGTAGTAGGGTCGTGGGAAAGACACAAACTAGGGCCGGAGCATCTCACAGACCAGCTGGGTGGCTGGGGAAACTGGTCATGATGTCCAGATCCCCCTTATAAAGAGCCTCACCAGGACCGTGGACCCCTTAAGAGATCAGGGACGAGAAGCCAAGGGGCATCACTGAAACTACTAGAGCTGTGGAGGGCAGTTTCCTGGTGACAGGCTGTTCGTGGACATCATCTTAGTTCCCTTGGCAACACTGGATGATCAGTTTTAAAGCCTCATTTTTGAAAATTTGAATAGATTTTTTTTAGAGCAGTTTTAGGCTTGCAAAAAAAAATGTGTAGAAAGTGAAGCTAGATTTCCTACCTTTCATGGTCTTCATCAAACTGGCATGGAATTTACCATTTCTCAATGAATGCAGGCAGCATGGTCTGAATGAGCCCTAACCCGTCTCCTCCACTGGTGCCGGTGCCTGGAGGGGCAGGGCCCGCCTTTGCTGGTGTGCTTCTACTCCCCGCCCAGCCATCACAGATACCTTCTAACTGCTACTGAAAGAGAGAAACATCTTTGATGAGTTATTCAACAGATGCTCTTTGAGCACTCAATGACTAATTATATGTTTTTGATCAATAAATTTGGTGTGCTAACTTTGGCCTAGATTCATCTCTTCATTGAGGTACTTTTCCCTGGTCTATTCATGAGTTAAGAGAATGAATCTCACTTACACTCGGTATGTCAGTTGTCCACGGCAGAAGAAAATTCGACAATATGTGAAACTTATAATGACATACTATGGCAAAATAGTGAGACTAGTTTAAAAATTATATTCTTGATGATATCTTTACCCAGTTTTTGCAACTCTTCCCTCTCCTTTTTTTCCTTAAAAATTCCAATATAGACTTTCCTTGTTTAATAGATTACATTCCTGTGAGTAGGTTGTTAAATGAATGTGTTGCTAAATTATGAGGTGTATATAGCATGTGCTTTACAATGTTCAGAAAAAAGAAACTGTGAAAGGAAACTCCAACTCGATGACTTTGCTTTTATTTGCATAGCTCTTACATGCAGTACCGTGATGTATAATAAAGCATAAAACTCCAGGACTGAACCAGGCAGTACAATCAGCAAAAGCTACAGTGCTCTGCAGTGCAAGAAGCCACGACAGGCCGCCTTGCAGCTCACCTTCCTACATTCTTAAGTCCAAATGCAGGCAGTGAGTTTGAACAGCTCTCCTCGGTCGTAACCGAACAGTCATTAAGCGGGTCGGTTGTTAAACAAGGAATACCTGCACATGCCTCTTAGAAGAATGAGACAAGTCTAAAACATTTCTACCTGGATTGTGAGCCAGTATTTCCATTGGCCCTCTGGAGATTCCCACGTCAGTGTCCTACGGCACACCTCAGACCTCGGACTGAAGCTCAACACATTCTCCAGGAACCTGGCTTTTTTCATCCTCAATTTTCTAGCGCAGGAATTTTTCAATAGCTCTTCAGTTACCTGACTCAGAAATTTAGACTCATCCCAGTTCCTCAGGCCTGACTCGTCCTTTGATTAAATCAAGAAGTCCTATCAATCTAACCTCCTAAAAACTCTAGACCTCACACCTTTTTCTCTCCTCCACTGCGACTCATTAACTCAACAAATTTTATTAAGCATCTATCATGTCCCAGATCCTGCCATGTCTCCAGACCCTGGAGTCACAAAGGTGTTCCAGCCTCCTAGAGCTCACCTGCTGGTGAGAGGCTGGTGCGCTGCTGTCTGACCACTTAGGTGAGCCCATCCCAGCAGGAGTGCTGTGCTTGGTGTTCCAGCCCTGGCCCTGGAAAAAGCCCCGGACAGGACTGTGACTATTGCCGTGCTGGGTAATGCTGAACATTTTTCTACTGAGCTCTAAAATGCCTCTGCTCTGATGACAAACCAAGGTTCAGTGGTCTGAGGTCTGTGGGAGGGAGTGGACACTGAAGGAACATCTTATATAAAAATGCGCTTGGCAGCAGCACACTTGAGCCACCAGCTCACAGACTGAGCATCTACTCAGGAGAGCATTCTGCCATCCGGACACCCCACCGGCAGATACTCTGGACAGCAGGCCTGCAGTCTGCACCCCCAGCTAGCTCATACCAACCTTTGCTGTTTCTTTTGAAGTTACTCTGCGATATGGAACCTTCTACCCAGAATATCCTGAGCGCTGTGTGGACCCTAAACCCACTTTCCAAGAAAAGACAGCGAGCGAGCCCTCATCACGAATTGTGGGAAACCTGTTGTAAGCGTCAGCTATAGGCCAGCCTAGGATCAGGGCCGCCGGGCTGAAATAGAAGCGAGAGCCTCTGGCAACCTGCACATCAGGGCCCTGCTGAAGGTCACCTACATTCCGAGCGAGTTTCCATGGAAAACAACCGCACGGCAGACCTCAACTCCCGTTTTCAGGAAGCAGCAGACCTCGCTGACTGTTGGTGCAAGGGAAGCCAGGCCCTGGTCCACCACGGTGCCGGCTTCTCCCTGCGGCCCTCCTTTCGCACAGCTTCTGTCAGGAAGACAAGCAGCTCTGCGTGAAGGTGGCCTTCAGATACATCGCGCAGAGCAGGGCATGGTCCCACCAGCTTTGCCCTCCTGGCCAGCTCCTGGGGTATGAATCTGAGATGCTGTCGTCCATGCCCACGGACCAGCCCGGTCCTGCGAAGAGGAGGCAGCAGGCCCTTCCTGCGCCAGCCTTACAGACTGATGTGCGGGGCACCTGCTGCGTGTTGCCTACCTCAGTCAGGCCACTGCTGCCGCCCTCCTGACAGAGGCTAAGCTCCATAGGCCACACCCTGCCGAGGCTCAGGTGGGGTCAGCTGGGGTTTGTTTTTTAAGCTCATACCTTTGTAACGTCCAGGACCTCTCTGGGCCACGCTGGGGAACAGGGCTGGGGCGGAGGAAGGACCCGCCTCTCAGCACCCTGGGTGTGTCCTCTCAGAATCCCCTTTTCTAAAACAACAAACGCCTGAGGCAGCGTCCGGACCGAGGTGCAGGAGTTCTGCCTGAAGGAAGCACTAGTTTTATGAGCGCGTGGTCTCGGAATGAGCTGAGCTGCCGGGTCAGGAAAGTAACACTGCCGGGTCTGGAGGGACGCCATGCCCCAGCCAACCCGAAACCCGAGATGCCGAGGAGATTATTTCGGGCCCAGCAGGAGCAGCTGAGTGCTCACTACCTCTTCTGAGCTAGTTTCCACGGCTGGCTCTTCCTTCACCCAGACTTAAACCTGTCTCGTGGCACCTCCCTTCAAGCCATTCTTGTTTTCCTCCCTGACCCAGGTTCTCTCCAAACCACTGGCTTCTGGGCCTTACAGATTTTGCGAAAATGGCACTACTGTTTCTCTATCTGGCAAAAATTTTCTAAAACCACAAGAATGTGAAGAAAAGCAACATTACTGGTTGGTTGTTTCTTAATAGTACAAAATAAAAATAGTAAGAGGTAAACACGTAAACAGTGCTGTCCCACACAGCAGTGGGGGCAGGTGACCAGTGCAAGGGAGACAGCGGACGGGTGAGAGGTGCGCGGGACACCACACGGCCTCTCAGGGTGCACACGGCCATGCCATGCCGCTGGGAACTCGAGGGCACGGGGGAGAACCACCTTGGCAGAGAAGGGAGGCACGTGAGGGAGGAAAGTGCTCCTGGAGGCTGGTGGGTCTGGGCAGAGAGGGGAGTGCGAGACACACAGGCCAGGACGTGGGTGGGGAGTCTGGGCGGCGGGCCAAGGCTGGGGGCTCGGCAGTGCCAAGGGCAGCTCTGGGAAGCCCTGGGAGGGGACCAGCGTCTCTGACTGCTGTGTGACGAGTGCTGCGGGCAAGAGGAGGACTAAGAGGCCCACGGGAGGAGGCAGAAGTCCGAGCAACAGGGCCGGTGCTGGATGTGGTGGGAAGGGCTTGGATTTTAGTGTGTTTTGCACATCGCAGTAGGACTTCCACATGGACGGAGGGTTGGTGGCGAAGGAAAGAGAGTAATCAGAAGAACTCAGATATTTAGCCTGGGCCATATGCCTCAATATAATTATTAAATGATTCATCTTTTAACGACAATCACCTTTCTCCAGTACTGAGTTTCCTGCTATGTGTGTGTGTGTGTGTGTGTGTGTGTATGTATGTACTTCTGGATTTTTCTCGTTAAATATTAACATTTTAATGTATTATCAGTTTATTGAATATATAGACTATACTATATTCTAAATACAATTTTAATTTATTATAAAATTCATTTTTGAATTATCTTATTTCTCAGCTCTGATTTATTTTCATAAGCCAAACTTTAGAATCACTTTTACCAGGTTGCTCAAAAGAGACCTGTTAGGAAGATTTTTTGTATTGTATATCTAAGTTTAGTTTAGTCCAAAATGACATTTTAAAATATTTTTCCCCACATTTACTAATGCTCTTGTGTAAGATTTTAAACTTTCCTTAATATAAAGCCCACACATTTGTTGTGTGTTTCTTTTGTTGAACAGAAACCTACTACTTTGTAACTAGTTATTTTAAGCAACTAAGAAAGTTATCACTCTTTCATACTTGTATTTTGACCAGATAATTTACTGAATTCTAAGAGTTTTTCCAGTATATTCACTTGGGATTGCCAAGACTGTAATTTTTATAACCTATAAATAATGATACTTCTACCTCTTCCTCCCCAATATTTACGCTTCTTATTACATTAAAGAACGCTTCAGGAATAATCATTAAATAATTATGGTAGCAACAAGTACCCTTGTCTAGTTCTGGACTTTATGAGACCAGTTCTTGACTTCTTGTTTCTCAGAGTCACCTTATAGTATTGTGGTGGCTGTTACTTTGAGACACCCAAAATAAAGATGCAGTATGAATTTTTGTTTGTAGTTTGTTTTTTTGGTACCGGGGATCGAACTTGGGTCCTTGTGCTTGCGAGGCAGACAGCAGAACCACTGAGCTAAATCCCAGCCCTTGAATTTTTAAATATATGACTTTACCAAGTTTTATTCTCTTACCACAATTATAAATTCCTTTAAAAAGTCAAGATTTTTCTTTTGGCAAATTTTGAGATAATCATGTGGTTGTACTTCCTTGACCTATTTAGAAGGTAAAGTCTCATAATTGATTTTAGACTATGGAGCTGTCCTCCGAAGTCTGGATTCATCCCTACCTGGTTGTGGTGTTTTTAGTTTACTGTTATTAGTATAAGGTACCAAATATTTTACTTTGTATTTCACATCTTATTTGTAAGCAGATTCATTTGTAGTTTTTTTTACCTGTGTCATTTTTCAATCCTTTGGTATCATTGCTGTGCTGCCTTTATGAGAATTCTTTCCTTGAAATCTGATCCAATTAAGTGGGTTAATAATTCTTTCCAAACAAGGAAGATTACATAGTCCTGGCCTTTGAGTAGTACTTCCTTGACCACTTTATATCACTTAAAAAAAAACTCTACAGTTTTTTAGATTTATATATTCTTAGGGATTTAGCTTAGTGGTTCTGCTGCCTGCCTCGCAAGCGCAAGGACTTGAGTTTGATCCCCGGTACCAATATATGTATATATAT